TTTATAATCCATAAAATATTTTCGCTCGCGCGCGAGTGGTCTAAACGCGTCACGTGACCGAATATTCCCCAGCTGAAACTGGGGAATATCCCAGAATATTCCCCAATTTTCGAAACTGCACGTGTTGCAAAAAATATCTGAAGGATAATAAACACAATAGCCTCCATTTGACTTTGAAAATGTGCTCGGATATTCGTCCTTGGACATTATCTGAACAGATAATGTCCGCGGGCAAATATCCGAGCATATTTTCAAGCCAAAGGGAGGCTATTGTTTATTTATACCATGATATAGAACAAACAGCCAATCAGAATACAGGAAAGCCGTTGTAGATTCGACGGTATTACATCCAACCTTCCCATCCTGCGCCGCGCGCATATCGCATTGTGTTCTTGATCTCCACCGTATTTTCTATGGAACGGAATAAAATAGTTATGCTCTCGTGGTATACATAAACGATGGCCTCCATTTGGCGCGAAAACCTACTAGGATATATTTGTGATGTCGGCGGACATCATCTGTTCCGAGAAGCGAACAGCTTTCCGAGAACGTGGCTCGAGGAAAACTGTGAGCTTTGAAGAAGCACATCCGAGCATATTTTGTACTAAATGGAAGCTATTGTGTTTATAATCCTTCAAATATTTTTCGGAACATAAGCAGTTTTAAAAATTGGTGAATATATAAACAATAGCCTCCATTTGGCGAGAAAATATGCTCGGATATTTGTTCCGAGAAGCGAACAGTTTTCGGAGAGCGAAGCTCGAGGAAAACTGTGAGCTTCGAGGAACAGATATCCGAGCATCGGACAAATATCCGAGCATATTTTCGAAGTCAAATGGAGGCTGTTGTGTTAATTATCTTTCAAATATTTTTCCCAACACGCACAGTTTTGAAAATTGGGGAATATTCTGTCACGTGACGCGTTTAGACCGATGGCAAGCGAGCGAAAATATTTGACGGATTATAAATATGTCTTATTAGATGTTTTGGTGTGTAGTATCGCTGTATATTTTTACGAGTTGTGCCGTATTTTGACGAGCCCGCAGGGGGAGTCAAACTACAAACAACGAGTGAAAATATAAAGCGATACTACACACCAAAACATCTAATAAGAGATTTGCTGTAGTCAATAAAATTATCAGTGAAAAAGGGAGAGTGTGACAGTTTTGCGCGCGCGCCGACCTGTCCGGCAAACAGGTTTTCTACTGTACAAATAACTGTACAATATCGTTGTATATTTGTACTGTTATTTGGACGGTATTCGCTGCAGTTGGATAATAACACTCGGATATTCCCCATTTCTAGCTGTGGAATACGTAGTCATGTGACGCGTTTAGACATAAATTGTCAAGCGCGTCCTTGCGCGCGCCGATTTAAATTCCAAAAATGGCGAATTAACGACAACAGACGATACGCGCGCGTTCAAAAAGCATTTCAAATGCAGGATGCGGTTCATTGTCATTCTGAACAGCATGAGTCTTGCGCGTAAAATATTATTCATTCTCATTACGGTCTTTTGGATAGGATCGACGGACATTAACGGCCAAGCGATTAACTCATCGTTGACTTGTAAGGGAGCAAAAAACTGCCAAACATGCGTGCGGGATTCTTCGTGCTTCTGGTGTGAAACGCAGTTGTCATGCCAAGTCTACGGCGCGAAAAGCAAAGACGAACAGACCAAGGCTTGTGGAGAATGGCGCTGGAAGAGCTGCGAGAAAGCAGACGCTTCTGCACCACTGATAGCTATTATAAGTGGTTGCGCTTCCGTGGCGTTGATTTGTGGTGAGTGTAGTATTTCTCCGTTTTCTCTTTAGTTTTAGTTTCGCTTGAGAAGATATATTAAACTCTCAAGACAGTGTTTGACCACATTTCTAGGTTGGTGCATCAAACTTGAAAACGTAAATACATTAATGATCATCGCAGCAGGTAATTATATCCAGAACTGGAGTAGCTGCAAGATTGATGCCTGAAAAAAACATTCAGGCCTGAACAAGATTCGAATCCATGACCTCTGCGATAACGGTGCAGTGCTCTGTCAACAAAGCTATCAAGCCAACTGGTAGCTGGTCACTTTGTGAGTTCGCAATAAACCCGTAAATGGTGAAGAACGCAACAAGCCATTTCTGAGTTGCTTTTACCTCTGTTTCAAAATGAGTCTTGGTGTACAACCTTTCATTTTTTTATAACGTATTTTACAAGCAGTTTTTACTTTGCCTGAAAATCGCTGATATTTCGATGTATTTTGGTTTAAACTAAATAAAGTTCGGCGAATTAAGTTCGACGTCTGAATCAACAGGTGTGCTTTTGATAATTTGGGTCGGTCCAAATTCGAATTAAGTTCGGCTCATGAAAAGTTCGGCGTCTGAACTGGGCCTTAGAAGCTTGAAAAAATCGGTTAATTTTGTCAAGATCTCTTGTCTGTGATACAGTTCCGATTAACCCTTTTTTTAGTTCTCGAAAAGTGATGTTTCGCAAAAAACTGAATTTGTGTTTTGCTTTTATCTCTTCCAGTTTTGCTGGTGCTCGTCTGTATCAAAAGGGATCTCTGGAAACGAATTGTGAGCGCGCGCGTTTACGACAGATGGGAAAAAGAAGGATTATTCGAGCAGGAAGAACGATTTAACAGAAGAAAGAAACACAACAAAAAACAAAGCAATAAGGCACAAAAGTTCTCAGAAAAATATCAACTTAATGACCCCTCCATGGCATTTTTGTACTCACCGTAACACGTGACATACCCGACCTAGTTCTTTTGAGTGAACAATCGCGGGGGCAGAAAAGCTTGGTTCGAGGGCGGAAAAGATGATGGAATGACTATTTTAATATCTGTAATACTATGCTACTACTACCGTGATACTATGCTAAGGAGATGTTAAGCTGAACCAGTTTCCTTTCAGAACAAATAAAATTCAAGTTAAAATCTGTCTACAATTTTAAATCCTGTATGAGCACTAAGTTCAGCGACGAAGAGAGCATAACACAACAACAACAACAACAACAATAACAACAACAAAAACAACAACAATAAAAATAAGAACTTAAAAACTAGTGTACAAAAACAATCACAAAACAACTGAGTGACTATGGACTTAGTTATCAAAACATGGCATCAATTGTTTTGTGTAGCACGAAATGTGACGACTGAGTTTATAGAATGTACTCCAGTACATTCCGTAAATTCTTTTACATATCTGGCCAATCACAGCAAACGCCGAGAAACACGTGACCTCTGCTTGGCGAAAGGTCCTAACCTATAACTTGGGGCGAGCGCGGGAAACCATGTAACTGGTGGTGTCTTTCAGGAAACATGACACCAGTGAAAAGCGCGGGAAAACATGCAACCGCTGCTAACCGCGCCAAGTTACAGCCTATAACAACGGTATCGGGAAGCGCGGGAAACTATGTAACCGGCCCCAACCGCGGGAAAACATGTAACCGGTCCCAAGGGCTACCCGGTGCCAAGCGCGGGAAAGCATGTCACTGGTGCTAAGCGCGCGAAAATGAAGGATTATTTTTGGGTTTGCTGCTCATCGGTCATTGGAAAAGTCCCCAATTAAACCCCTTCAGATCGATTACAGGATACTTCAGGATTTTTTTTAACCGATTAGAGTTCAGACACGCTAAACCAAAGTATAGTTAGCACAATATTACATTCACTACTTTCTTTTAAAAGTTACTGAAAAAAAAGAAAAAAAAAATTTTACTATATTTTTCATGCATGCATGAAATTCTATTTAATAATTTTCTTAAAAGCTCATTATCGGTCGTGTAAAATTTAACACTGATATAAATTTAAGTTAATGAAATTAAGCTAGAAATTCTAACCTTGACGTGCTCGAAATTAACCAGGCTGGTCTTTGTGGCATATTCACTAAATGGGCAAAAAGGCTGATCTAATAGAAAAGTACTATATAACAAGAACTGCCTTGTAACACGGCCTCAATTGCGCTTCAGTTAGTCTCGTGATGTTCTCGCGTGGATTAAAATTCTCCCACAGTTTTATACTCATTTCTTCAAGGCTAAATAGTCCAGCAACGAACTCATTTGTGTTGTCTCGCATTTTGATGTCACGTCTCTGCTTCGCCTTCACTGTCATCAAAACGAATATGACTTTGCCGTTGTACTTGCAGGGCTTCGGCCTTTCTTGCAACCTAGAAATTAACGCATAAATCACTCAGGGTGAAATTGTTCGAAAACAAATTAAAACTAATTAATCGGGCTTCCGTGGGAAAGCCCAAGTCTATAAATGCAGGCCGTTCTTCTTGGGCTACAAATGGGGGGTCATATTACCAGGCGTTCCTAGCGGAGAGGGTGGAAACTGGGAATGGAAATTGCAACAACACTCGACCTTCGCGAACAACATACATTTACACAACGTTGCGAATTTTGTGAAAAGAAAACTTTGGAAAAAATCATGCCTTTTGCGCTCATCTCACATACAAAGATGCCAATAGTTTTCGGAAAGGGTCAGCCCACGAATTCTATAGCTCGAAAGCTAGCCAAATTAGGAAAGCTCATACTAGTTCTCATGAACACCTCAGATGTTGAAAAAATCAAGAATCGTAGTGAACAGAACTTTGAAGATGAGGCAAACAACAAGCAATAGGCCACTTTCGATATATCAAAATTTTCACATGGCTCCGAGGCTTTCGGGACAAACTTCTATATCTGATGTTGTTTTCTTTGTATCCAAGTCTCTTGGGAATTGAGAGGCAAAAAAAAAAAAAAAAAAACTCAAAATATTTACAACTTTGACCCGAAAGCCTCGGAGCCACGTTAGAATATTGATATATCGAACTTGGCCTGTTGGATAAAGAGGATACTCAATGAAGCAAATTGAACAGTAAATTAAATATGAAAGCTTACGTCTTGTTTTAAATGTCCTGACTCTTTAATTTGTTTTTACTGTGTTTAATACTTGTAAAGTACGATTTGATATTTCGATAGGAAACCCGAGTAAACGCTCTTGGAGCTTCTAGTTCTGGATCAAAGTTGACTGAGGTTTGAATAGTACAGTTTTGAGTCTAACTCAATCTGAAGTAAACTATCAGAGAAATACTACCACGAAAGTGTTGAAAAGAAGCAATACACAGGGGTAGGGGTGGGGGAATGCAGGGATGGGGCAGTGGTGAGAGTGCTTAACTCCCATCGATGCGGCCTGGGTTCAGTTCCCGCCCCGCGGTGTCATATGTGGGTTGAGTTTGTTGTCGGTTCTTGCCTTGCTTCGAAGGTTTTTCTCCGGGTACTCATCAAAAACCAACATTTCCAAATTTCGATTTGACCAGGATAGATGACCCGCGTGAAAACCAGCTAAGACTGATGTGGCTTCCTCTCTAAATATTGAAATTTATTTGTCGATAGAAGGAAACGATTAAGCGTCGTTTTTACCTTTTCAGTTCCTCTTTTCTTCCCTCTCTTAGCATTATATCTTGTTACGCGATCGGCATTTATCTTCTCCCAGTACGCTTTCTCATCCTCCTCTACAAATTAAAAGAAATAAATCACCTTTGAGTTGAGTTTGTTGTTACTTCTGGAGAGCGTTTTCAAATGTGTGTGCTTTCGATGAAACGTTGCGCGATTTCGATTGTATCACAAGGATGGTAAACGCATCGCATCGACGAAAACGGATTTATGTCTGGTGGAAAGGGCGTTACCATGGCGGGGTTACCCCAGAAAAATTAGGTGGGGGTGTGCTGCCCGCTTCCCAAAACCCTTACCCTATTGAAGCCTAAAGTCTGCGATTTTCCCTACCCTATTGTCCGATAATGCCAATACTACTATTTAAGACTTGACCCTTAAATCAATACCCTGTTTAAGACCTGCCTTATGGTTAGTTCCCTAGTTCAGATCGATGTTAAAGGCAATGTAATGAGCTTTTGTTGATGGTCTTATCGATAATGATGAACGAAGTGGCTTCTTCTAAAAAAAACATACCCAATTCAAGACTAGAGTGCTAAAACCATACACTGTTTGAGACCAAAATGGCCAAAATCGTTATCCTATTTCTGACCAAAACGGCTAAAAAACCATACCCTTTGCAACCGTATACACCTATATAACCCATATAAGACAGTACTCCCGGGGGAAGGCGCTACACCCATTTGGGCTTCGTTCACATTTTCGTTGGAACACGTATACTCCCTGATGCAGTTTCGCCTACCGTCTACGCTAATACGATAGTAAACGCTCTATAGTTTCAACGAAACGCACACGTGAAAGCGCTGTCCAGAGTGCAGATGACTGAAAACGCAGCCCTATAGCATCAGAGTAGATAGCGAAAACCTTTTCTGATTTGCGTGTCTGCGCTTTCGAGCATTTGAGTCGACCTCGTTCCCATGGCGGGGTCCTCTCTCTTCCTCGAAAAAGATAGAGGACCCTGGGAACGAGGTTGCGTTTGAGTGTGGACGGGGACAACGCTGCAAAAACGTTGATGAGGACGCAAATCTTTTGATGCGTTTTTCGGTACGAAAACGCGTCATCGGAATACGCCAATTGTATCACCATATGGTCTGCAACGGGGCAACAAACCACCCAAACTAAAAAAGGTCTTCTAGCCTACCGGTACGCTGACAGGTTTTAAATTGTAGAAAATCGATATTTTAAAAGTTTAATTCACTCTTTATATTGATATTCATTCAAAAAACTTGATTCGTAATCTTTTAAGCTTTTAGAATTCCACGTCGACTTTCCATGACCTTTCTGAGTTTTCCTTGACCTATGTTAAGCATTTGCTCTCAAAGTATTGTCAAAACAATTTACTATTTCAAGTATTTGCCCAGGTATTTGTATTTGTCAGGTATTTGTATTTGTCAGGTATTTGTATTTTTATTTATTTGATTATGACGCATAAAATGCGTGCTACTGTTTATTTAGCTACTGGAATTCAATCCGGTTTTCTGATTTGTCTATTGCTTTTGAACTTTTGAACTTTTTGCCTTTTTATTCTCTGAAAGTATATTGCTTTTCCATGACTTTCCATGACCCACCTTTCAATTTCATGACTTTCCAGGTTTTCCATGACCCATACAAACCCTGCACAACGATTTGCAGTAACCAAACAGTGACTAACCTGTTAGTTTGTGGAGTTTTAATTCATCGTTTGTCGATGACATTGTTTCAAACACCGCGCTACATTTTTCTGCGGTATGGAAGCGAACGTGACCCTGCGAACGAGACAAAAAACAAATTACAACATTAAATCAGTTTTCCTTTAAACTAAAGAGATTAAAGGCAAGGAAAGATTTGTACATCACGAATAGAAAGGTGTATAATGATATGAAATAAGACGAACGTCAGTGTAACCTCTCGGGTGAACAGGTGCCGCTTCCTGGGAAATCCACGAAAATAACCGAACAGCCTCCGACTTATTATCCAATCAGGTCCAATCAGAAGAAGCGGAAGCCGGATCCGAACGTTGTCGGGTCCGTTTGTCGTCATAGGCTTGCGTCATCAGTAAACGTTGAGAATTCGCGCCCTTTTCACGCTTGCTCGCACTGGCAGCGGGCACGCGACAACTACCCGCCAACAGAAATGCTTTTTTTTTTACAAACCACATTGTGGCTTAAACGAACTTATCTTTAATACAGTTAAGACGTTTTATCCTTTTTCTCACCTCAACACTGCCCTCAGTCAAATCCAAATAGGCCACTGGCGCGTGAGAAGAAAACTTGTCCTACAAGAGGGAAGCAATGAATAAACAAACATACGTCGGCAACAATTTCCAACTACAAACACTCTTTTTTTTAAATAAAAATCTTATCCAGGAGAAGGTTGAGGCTAAGATTGACCAAAATTTTAAAAGCATGCTAACACATCCAAGTTGAGACTTTTAGCCAAGAACATCATTTTCTCCAATCGTTTTTACCTGGAGCCCTAAATCCAGTACTCCACGTCTCCTTCTCAATATTTCCCTAGCTACCCGAGTAAGTGACAATTATTTCATCTGATACAGTCCATCATAGTTCTTCACATGGTCATGAAAAATCTCTTATTAGTCGTTAATATTCATTAAGTTTATACTAAGGAAATGTGTTTGTGTATCTGATCTTAAGTAGCATAGAGTTTTGCGATTTTATTTCTCTGTTTTCTCATACGTTTTGGTCACGAACTCGCGATTGAAAAGGTACATTAAACACATTATTACATTTCCTATCAATTCGAAGTTCGTCAAAAATACTCCGCCACGCGTCCTATTTTCAACTCTCTTCTCGTTGTTCGGAAATGTAGTAAAACACGGTCTCTCGTTTTTGATATACTAAGTCTTTATTCTGCGACAGCCTCAGCTCGAAAATTAAAGTAAGTAAAATTAACTTTTTCTATAGAATAAAAGAAACAAAATCAAGATTTGCAGTATTTCTTTCTCACCCTTATTTCTTTCTTAGTCAAGCCCTGACTTTGACAACTGAATTTTAAAATTACTCCAGGAGTGTATGGTAAGTCTTTTACAGCCTGGCTGTCTTCTTGTGACGATTTATTTTGGTTTTTCTTCTTTGACACTTCAACCTGGCCTTGTGATTGTTTCTTAGTTTGGTTACTAGCTTGGCTCGAATCCGCTGAAGGCTTCTCGTGTAGCTGTTTCTTCAATTTGTTCATAGCTTCCCGTTGTAGATTCTTGTATTCTTTCTTCAGTTCTAACCATTCCAGCCTCGCAAAAAGAAAGAAAAGGCAGGTTCAATGCGCAACACTGACTATGATTAACTTCTAACATCTCCAAACCCTTTTACACCAAAATCAAGGTGCCCAGGACATGAGAATTAAGCTTCTGATCATCTCAGGCGAACTTGACTGACTAAAAACAAAATTCTCCACATGAAAATGTTACTAATAGAGTGAAAACAGTCAGAAGAAAATCACTGTTGATCAGAGTTAAAAAAAAATAAATACTAACTTGGAAATCACTCGAAGGTGCGGTAATCTTGTTTCTTTCCTCTCCTTCTTTTTCCGTTTTCTCTTCTTGTGTTTCTTGGCAGTGTTATCCTCGCCGCTTTCCTCAGCATTATTTTCAGAGTTCGTTTCCGCCTTGTCAGCCGTCTTTTTACGTTTGTGTTCCACGCTTTCATCATCGTCAGCCGAATCTGCGTGAGATCGTTGACGTGCTTTTAATCCACTCCTTCTTGTAACAGTATCCTCATCTTCATTGCCTTCTTGCCACCGTACAATTTTCTTGCCCTTCTTGTCTTTCCCATCTTGTTCACTGTTCGGTCCTTCCTTTCCATTTTTGTCTCTTTCACTACCTTCTTCGCCGCTCTTAGACTCCTTGTGTTTTTGTTTAATATCGCTACTTTTGCTCACATCCTCCTGTTCCTCTGTTTCGCCTGAATCCACTGAAGATTCACTAATCGTTCTCCTCCGTTTTCGTTCTTTGTGCTTTTGGATTTCAACTTCTGATTCGCTATGCGAGCGTTTTCTTTTTCCTTTCGCCATCTTGAGCTGTTCACTTGACTGTTCTGTCCTATCACCGTTTTCGTTTTTCTCCTCTGGTTCACTGGCTTGCTTTTGCCTTCCTTCTTTATTGAAAACCTGCATGAAAGTTTGGGATTGAGTTTCAATATTAATACCGGTAAACTTTTTGCCTTTCACTAACTCGCACACATTTGATTTGAAATCTTTCTAAACTTGCTGTCTGTAATAAACGGAAAACTCTGCTAGATAAACGTGATTCTTTTTTTACTGTGTTTAAATCAAAATGATCTACCTCTCTGTCTGTCTGCCTGCCTGCCTGCCTGCCTGTCTGTCTGTCTGCCTGCCTGCCTGCCTCTCTGTCTGTCTGTTTGTCTGCCTGCCTGTCTGTCTGCCTGCCTGTCTGTCTGTCTGCCTGTCTGTCTGTCTGCCTTCCTGTCTGTCTGTCTGTCTGTCTGCCTGCCTGTCTGTCTGTCTGTCTGTCTGTCTGTGACTTCACTACTAAAGTGCCTTGATTAATAAGTACACAATACAGGTACAATAGTTAACAAAACTATTCTATAAAATAAACAATGAAGAATCAAATACCTCAACTGCTTCTTGAGCTTCTTTTGCAGATTCGAATTCCACAAAAGCAAATCCTTTAACATCTCCAGTGTGTTTAAACCTTGGAATACTAACATCACAGGAAAAAGACACTGTTATTAACACTTCACATAAGCTCAACTCTGAAGCATAACCACCAAGTTCCCATTACACTAATGGAGTAAAATTTGAGTAAAATTTGAAGACATGATTGATCATAGCAGTTATAAACACAACTTAAGCAGTTGTGAAATTAAAGGCTTGAACGGGATTCGGTTAATTTCACAACTCTCAATTCAGTTCATTCACAACTTCTTAAGTTGTGTATATTACTGTGATGATCAATCATGTCTTTATATCTTTCTCTGCAGTTCAAATGTATGATCTTTTATATAATCACTTATAAGAAAGAATTTGGTCAGAAAGAGATGGTGGCTGCACATTTTACCACATTACCTTGCAAACCTAACACAGACCATTAAGCTCAAGGACTGCCATACTTTGTGCAATATTTGTCCCAGTTGAGTATTAACAACACTGTGCATGCTATTGCTAGGTTTGCAGATATTAGAGCTTGTGGGTTTGTGTACCAGTCGCCATGTTTTTTCCTAAAGAGGATTGGAGTATCTTATGTTAGGGCTTTAATTTGTTTTTTTATTCAAAAGTTCATGAACCCTTTTGAGTTTAACAAAATCTGTTTCAGACAATGCTAGAGAATGTAAGAGAACTGTGTTTCAAAGGATCGCTGGTCTTGCAGAAAATTTGGCTAAATCCGAGGGATTTAGGGAAAGTAATAATTTAACCTCGTGACACAGGGAGTGATTGCCCATTCTCTCCGGCCAAGGGCGCATGATATAAGTGCTGGTCATAGAAATAAAGAAAACTACTTATTAATAACTACAAAAGTATTGTGAATAAATATAATAATTGGATTTCTTGTAGTTTACAGAATTACAAATCAACTTGAATACAATTTGTTCACAGAGCCTGAGTATTACATTGAACAAAA